CTTCGTTTTCTGTCTCCTCACTTTTATACAGCCTTTCTCTTCCTTCTTTCCCCGCTGACTCAGTTCTGCTTTTACACTTGGTCTGATGCGCTGATTACTCTTCAAACATAAATACTGCCACTTTGTACTTGGAAAGAATTTTAATAGCCTGTCGTGAATGAAATACGTCACCTGTCTTGATACAATAAACTTAAAACAACCACAACTTTTTGGTGGTTTAACTGAGCATATTATTGCCTTTATCACCTTCCACCACTTTAAAAACCTCATTTATGCTCCATTAGCAGCATGTTTCTATATAGCTTTTGTCCTTTTCAACCTGTGGACAGAATACACTGTCTTGCATACTCACAGTATTAATAAGACATCATGTTGATATACAAACTTAATAATACATGTTGGTGCCCTGTCTGTCTAAACAAGTAATGCAGGATCTTGGACTTTAGGATTCACTCGTCTGAATAAAATTCCAACAAATTTGGCCACAAAGCTGGAAAATATTCAGCTTTTAGTGCAAATCCATATTTCTAAAGAACCAGTCCAGCACTTCTTTAAAACCTCTGATGTCATCTGAATTGACGCAGAATCAAGACTTCCCTGGAAAACACTGAAATCACTTCCCTCACATACCAACTGTAGACTTCAGTGAAGTGATAAGGGTGGAGCCTGATGTTTAAAGGCCTTTTTGTCCTTCTTTGACTCATTGTGATTAATAATGTCATGACAGACCTCTTTCTAAAAACCTTCTTTCTGTTCTCCTCTGTCCCTTCAGTGCAGCGTTGCTCTTCCAGCTTTGGTGGGAGGGTTCGCTGCACACTTAAATTGGACCATGACCTCATTGTGTTGCAGCTCCGCTGTGCTCTGCTTGTCCTGTTTGTTTGGATTGTAGTCGCTGTCTCCCTCCCAGTTACCCTTAACCCCGTCAATCCTGCTTGAAGTGGAGAAGCTGACACGCCCACATTCACATACTCTCCTGCTTCGTACTAATGTCACTTTAATCCTGCTGTTTCTCTGCTTAAACTGGTTAATTAGGACTTTTATCGGGAAACACATTAGAGGGAAGGTGTGTGCAGGCATTGAATTGACTATTTAAGATGAGGTGAGGACAGCTGATGTAGATCAGCAGGGTTATCTACTGACCTAAATGATCTCCCACAAACACAAACTCTGCAGAGTCATGGAAGAAAGGATTCCCCTTGAGGGAGTATTTCTTATCATATCCCCACTCACATCTTACCTTCTTTCACTTTTGTCCTCTCCGTGTGCACATTGAGATAACACATAATCTGCTTACCTGTCACTTCCTGCTAATAAGCTTTGACTCGTCTAACCTAGCAGCCACTTAAAGGTGAGACCGATGGTGGAAAACCCCCAGCAGGTCAAAATCAACATCACGACGCTCAGGTAGACACAGGTATTACGAAGTAGACGAAAGCATCTGTGAAACAGGGACTCAAACTGTTGTGACTTTGTTTCTGTGCCCGTGTGACTGATCAGATCTGCTTTAATCCCAATGAGTCAGTGTCTGGACTTATTACACGGACAGATTACGATCAACAGGGTGTCAGGAGGTGACTTCAGAGGTGTGTACTGTAAAGTTCAACATAACCAGGCTTTCTTGACAAAAGTTTCTGACAGCAGAAAAGGAGTTGTTGACTGAGGTGGAAAACTGAGTAGCAAAAATACCACATTGAAAGATCAGGTTGGGCCAAGAAATAAAAATAAATAAATAAAGGTTATTTTATGTGTCACAGATTTAAGGATAACAACTAATTATTATTAAGGTTTGTGTTGATCATAGTGTACTAATTGATGAAGGACTATAGCAGTACCATAGGGCTAAAACTGTACATACTTAGGTGTCACTATAGAGGCTGAATAATAGCTCAGTAAACATGCATGCATGATCATTTTTATTATCTTGTTTTGTTGTTTGCAGTGATTTCAAATTGCTTATTTTTATGCAACAACTTGAAACCCCAAAATAGTCAATTTATTATGATTTACATCAAAAGGTAAAACAGTAATTTCTTACTTTTGAGAACTCAAACAAATGAAGCTTAAAAACAATCTTAATTTTCTTTTAATCCATTTAGTGACCTACTTCAACTCAAACCATCAATAAATGCATGGGATTCATAATTTCAGGCAGTGACCGCCAAGTTCCCCCTGAAAAGATCCCCATATTTTCTTTTGTAATCAGGTGAGCATGCATTAGAAGAGTAAAGTAAATGTAACTGCAGAGAAGTAAATCTGTCATATTAGTGTTATCCTTAAACATAAAGCACTTTAGCGCGGACCTAAACTGGCGTTGCTGTTTTTTCTCAGAGCCATAAACCTCACAGTGTTTGCACATGCTGTATTGGCACCTTGTCTTTACTTTGAGCACTGTGTGTGTTATCCATATAAGGGTGTATGTGCCTTCAAAGCCTGCCTAGATTCTGCTGTGCGTGTGTGCGTGTGTGTGTGGTTTTTAATAGATGCTGCGGAGAGCTGCACTATGCCCATGTAAGCTCAGACTGCTGGGGAATTAAAGTCGGACTAGAGCATCTGGACTGGCACTCTCATATATAAACAGAAAATAATAGAAATCAGGTTTAAATTCTGCTTTGAACATCTGGAATCCACTGCTTTGAGACTTAAAGTTGTAGCTTTAAAAAATTATGTGACTTGGATTAAAAAACAACATCTGTGGAGAGGAGCTGATTATTTACTCCGTTGTTCTTTAATCTGCTGATAATTTTTTGGCATTAAAATTTGAAGATGTCAAGTTCTCGGCCACACAATTAATTTGTTTTATTATAGGAAGACAATGTTTGGCTTTTTAAAGAGTTTAGATGAGCTACAGTGAGCTTTAGATAAGTCAAAGCGGTTAGACCACAACTTTAAGGCCAGGCAGAACATCCACAGGATTTACCCCCTTATAGTTCTTATAAAGGAGGATGCTGCCCTTAGAGGATAAAACGATTTTTGTTTTACATGTTAAAATATTTTTGCCATTTTAAGATGGGAGTCTATGGATATTGATTCACTTTAGAGTTAGCCTAAAGTGGCAACTAGAGGAACTGCAGTCTATAGCACTTATATGTTGGTTGTTGCTTGGGTACTTCCCCTGTAACATATGGAGGCTTTCCTGAAATGTTTAAGGAAACATTTAAACCTTCCTCATAGTCATTTATAACTCCAAAACATCAGTATTCAGGTTTAAAGTTGGTAACAGCTGTTATTTGAGCTACATATATGGATATGAATCACTTTCTTACCTCTGAAAAGTGGCCGTGTGTCTTCAGAGGCTTCTAGAAACCATTTTATTTGGCTCTGAGGTCAACATCCCTGACTTTACAACCCATTATGTAACGTATTTGTTTCATGTGACCTGAATTACAGTTTTACACACGTAGCCTGTAGTTACATATAATGCATTCTCATTTAAGATTCATTAAAAGGGTTTGGATGTGTATGTTTGTGTTCTCATATTGGTTCTTTTTGTCTTTATTGTGAACATTTCCTATCAGCTGACCTAAGTTTGGACCTTCCCCACCCTCTGGCCTCCCCCTATCTTCTTCTAGGGTTATTTATAAAACCACAGTGCTGATGTGTGATCTGCAACTCTCACAGTGAGGTCTGTTGTGTGGCTGACTTGTCAAACATACATGCCACACACATCACAGGTTGTTTGAATCGGTTATGCATGCTCGTCAAGTCCACGTGGCCTCCGGTCAGTCAGACGAGACGTCTCTCTCCTTAAAAACACACTTTTTTTTGTGCTGCTTATGTTAGATTTTCAAATGCGATTCTCATGAAGTATTAGCTCTTTCCTCCAGGATGTTTTAGTCTAAAATTAGGAGTCAGTCGCTTATCATGAGACCTACACTGATGTAAAAAGGTGTTTTTGTCATGTACTCGCCCTCCAGTCAGAGCTGTTAGTTAAAAAAATAAAAAAGCAGACACTTGACACCTGTTCCTGTTTATATTCACAGGAAGGTATATTTTGACAAAATATATTCAAGACAAATATAAGTGGGGATTACATTTTGTCTGTTGCAGAGCACTTATATCAACAAATATGATCTTAACAAGTTTACTCTTCTCAAGCTGATATGAGAGGGCTGGGCCACACGGAAACCCCCTTAATACTCGCTGGTGTTATTGTGATGACGTATTGTAAATACGCTTATACTCCTTGCTGCCTTTTTTTTTCCTTCTGACTTCTTGTTATTGTTATAAATCAAATGGTAAAGAAGCAGCCACTTCCTGTCCTCTTTTTACTTAATTTATTGAATTTTTTTTTCTCTGTAATAAAAAAAAAAGCTGGCTTGTTGCACGTATAAAACCGGGCTAAATATGATTTGAGTTTAATACTATTAAATACCTTTATTTATTCATTTAATTTTTATTTATTTATTTTTATTCAATTTAATAAGCATAGTATAAAAATCAGATGATAGAGGTTTAAAAAATGCTTGATTTGATTTATGTTAGCATGACTTATTTGTTAGAATCCTTTTTTTTTTTTTTAATTTTTAATTTTTTGCATGATGAGAAAAATATGAAACTCTACACATTTCGAGCTGTTGGGCTGCTCGTTGCTTTCCTTAATGAACTTAAACAGAAAGGAGGATTGTGCAGAGGCAGAGCTTCTTCTTGGCAGCTCTACACTCACCCTGAACACCTTGGAGCTCTGGTTATCTGTTTTAAGGCTTGTTTATAAAGAGATCTTCTTGGTTTTAAAGTTGTCTCACCCACTTGAAACCAACAAGAGATACAGTACATTATGTCAGAGTAATGTGCACAGCTTTGTAGTATTGCCGTGTATCATCCTGTAAAATCAGAAAATAAAACGCTGGTTCTTGATTTGGATTAGAAATAATTATTCCCTCCCTCGTTTTTGTGTCCCACCGCTGTCGTCTAAACAGAGGATGTATTGTGTTAATAATCCCGGCTGGTTTGTGACTTATCATGTCGCGTTTCCTTTCCTTCTTTGTCCCTTTTCTTCTAAGGATGTGGAGAAGGAGAGAGAGTTGCGGACAGAGTTCAGCAAAGAGGAAATCTGGCAGAGAATCGAGCAGTACAACTTGCTAACCAAAGACCACCTTAAAATGACGCTGGTGAGTATAATATGCACACACGCACACACACTCATGCAAACACAACTTTTAAAAAACAAAACCCATAAACCAGGGCCGTCTTAATGGTTCCACTCTCCAGGCTCCTGCAGAGCTGTGCAGGCTCTAAATCTCAGATTTTGAGGTTTATAACGTTGCCGTGTTATCTCTGCCTCCCTCCTGCTGCCAGCATTCCTCAGTGCTCGCATCAGAGTGATGTGATGTTATTCCTGCTATTGTTCTCGCCCCGCAGTGTTTTCATTGGCAGCGTGACAGGTGTCTGAAGTTGTCTCCACTTCAACTCAGAGTGAATTTCAGTAGAAATGAGAGATGTCAGGTGAAACTGGGGTTTTCTGGCCGTTAAAGCGCCACATGAAAGAATGCAAACATTTTTAAAGGAGTAGCAGGTTACAGAGGATGTTTCCTGAGGGTTTTTTTTTCCCTTAGTCATGGAAAATCATCTATTTTCAGACAAGGATTTAAGCTGACCGCACTCTTAACAGATGGGAATCGACACATCTAAAGGCCAGTAGATTCTAGTCTGACACTCAGAGGGGAGCCCAGACATAATAACTGAGTCTGCCCGCTAGAAATCACATTTTAACTGGCCAATAAAAAGTTTACATTCATTCATACATTTGAATATATGAGTTTTTAGAATATAAAGACAATAAATGGACAAAAAAGCTGCATAGACACATAATATCAGCTTATATTGGTCACTCATGGCCAAATCAGCATGTATGTAATGAGATCAAATGCCATACTACTAGAGCATTATATAAAGATTAAAACAAAGTGTTGTCTAAGGCTAATCTGTGCAATTTTCCAGTTGATAATAAAGTCTGGGAACTTGAGATACCTTTAAACACTCCATTGTTAATTACTCGTCATTGTTTTGTTTTTTTGTAACTGAGAAAAAAAGACAAGAAATAATGATGATACTTTCCAAACTTAATATTTTATGCTGAAATGAGTCAAAACTCAAAGTGGGTGTATTCATAAGATGCTCCTCGTGATACTTTAACTTTCACAGTCAGTTTGTTCCACAGTCATTATAATAATGTCTGTAAATGGGTTTCAGAGCTCACATTCAATCCTTTTTTTGGTTAAAAAAAGTCTAAATGTTTATTTTCATTTATATTTTAAAAAACTGAGAACTGAGAATATTTGTTACTTTTGCAGTTAATAGATCATCAGGACAGTTTAGAGCAGATTGCACTGCATATTTTAAGTCGTGAGTGGATGAATGGGTAGTTTCGCTATGAGAAGCCTGCATATTTCTGTTTCAGCACACCTTTTCTGTCGAATTTCTGTCTTCATTGTTTAGGATTTGTCTTTCTTGTTCATCCCGTTTTTGTCTTTTTATCATTCCATCTTTGACGTCTACTTGTTTTTTTACTTCTCTTCATACTTGGCCTCTTTGTCTACTCGTGACCTCCACACACACTCCTCCCAGCCCCATATGGAGTAATGAGATTAAGATTGTCTTCCTCCATCTGGGGCCATCTGTCCCGCAGGTCACACTGGGCTTATTGGGTGAACTGGGCTCACTTGGAGATATCATGTAGCAGCTACCATAGTGGCCACATAAAAACATTAACTCTGTCTCTGTCAGGGTGCGGGCGGTGTGTACACGGGTTTCATCAAGGTCCAGATGGATTTGCGGAGGCCAATGACGGTGCAGGGAAGTCAGACAAGAGCCGGGGAGGCCTTCTATCTGCCCCAAGGAGTCTCCAACACCCTTCATGTCAGCTCCAAAACCACAGTCAAAGAGGTTGTTAATACACACGCAAACACACATGTGAACACACTGCAGCCTGCTTAAATAGGTTAATTATGATCTGATGACAGACTGGTTGAAGTCGAGAGACAGACAGGGCTAAGTTTATTGATTTCACTCAGATTTGTATGTTCTTTATCCTTTTAAGCAGCGGTCCCCAACCTTTTTTGCGCCACGGACTGGTTTATGCCCGACAATATTTTCATGGACCGGCCTTTAAGGTGTTGCGGATAAATGCAACAAAATAAAACTAGTACTGGTACCGAAAAAAATACAATTTATTCATTACACACGTGAAAAGACCAAGGAAAACCGAGTAAACGATAAAAATGATAACAAAATCACGCTGAAAACCGATAAAAACCCTGAAAACTATACATTTCACACCTGAGCCTCAACTCTCGCGGCCCGGTACCAAACGACTCACGGACCGGTACCGGTCCGAGGCCCGGGGGTTGGGGACCGCTGCTTTTAAGCAATAAATTAACGACAAAGCAACACAAAAATCTTCTAGAAGAGCTGTCAGAGTAATATTGACTGAGTGTTTTTCTTTCTCGTGTGTCTTCAGGTGATCGTCGGCTTGCTGAGCAAATTCACAGTTGCAGACAACCCGGCTAAATATGCCCTGTACAAGAGATACCGGCGGGAGGAACAGGGTAAGACTGGTTGTGAGAGACGGGGTTTCATGCCACTATTGCCACGCTCGATATGAGGTGTGTGTGTGTGTGTGTGTGTGTGTGTGTGGGCCTCACCCTCATGTTGGATGCCAGAGGCTCTCCCTACTATAACAGCTCACAGGGATACCCACACATGCAGATATAAATACAGCGCACATCCATGCTGTGAATGAGCAGCTGTTACAGACTGTTGGGTGTCACACAATGTCTTTCAGTGAGGAGAAGACGGTTTATTAACCGTATGCATTGATTTAAAACTATAAACACAACCCGCAGATGCTTGTTTGAAGCTTGTGAGTCATTTCAACTCAAATTTTTATAGATTTAGAGTGTTTTTTGTGTGTTTTCTCCCCCTTCTTTAAATGTTCCTGTTCTGGTTTGCATTCATGACTGGAGACGTACAGCTAATAAAAGACAGAGTCTAGACAGACGCCTGACTGCAGACACTTGAGGACTTTTAATGAACTTGTCTGGTGTTTCAGGCGAAAAGTTAAGTGTCTGAGATTTAACTGCGGTCTGGAAATGTAGAAACATCTTTGACTTTCTGTTTCAAATTGAGACGAGACGACTCACGATGTGGTCGAGGAGAACTTGGATATGTAAAGAAGAGAATCATTTGAACCAAAGCTTGTAGGGATGTACAGGGTGCAGAAACGTGTCCTCCAATTGTTTTGCTTCTGTTCACCGTTTTTTTAGTTCTTCGCTTTTATTTTAAGCCCTTCTGAAAGTTAGAAAACCTTAAAATAATTGTAAATCTTCTAAACCAATAAATGCTGGTCAACATACAAATATGTAGAATTTGTTAGGAAGAGACAAAAAATGCAATTGTAAGCGACACACAGAGTTAGACTGTTTTCATCGCTGTTGGTTAGTACTGCTTTGTCAGAAAACCGGTCTTTGTTGTGTGTGCTGTGGCATGCATTAAGGCAGAGGTGATGCTGATTGGTCACTCCTTTGAGACTTTGTTAACGAGCAGGGTTACTGGTATGCCAGTGAGGGTTTTAACCCAAACTGCAATCTTTTCCTAACCCTAACTAAGTACTTCTAAAACACAAAGTGCTCAAAAGGAGTAGGAACCAGAGTCTTCTGGCTGTTAACCCAAGAAACGATGCCCCCAGCACTCTCCAACCTCCTTACAAGGACTTTGCATCTTTGTTAAACATGAGCAATACTTTTGGGGCCAGAGGGCTAAAGGGCACCTTGCAGAAGGAACATCACAAAGTGTCACTGGGCTGAGAACACACTGAAGCAGGAGGTCTGTAAATGAATATACACACTACCCTGACATCCTAATTACACCGTAAGCCCTGAAAAATAGGCTTTTGCTAAGTCAGCAGACAAACCGATGGGTTTTCAGATTGAGGTTTGGAAATATGTGAATGTAAGAATAATCGAGCCTCTAGCACCTTCTACATCTTTTGCAGATGTAAATACATTGCTGGCAATAACAGAATCTGTCCCTCACTGTCTGTTCCTGTAAACTACCGCATGGTAATATGGCGCTCCCATCCTTTCATCCTTTGCCAAATCCGTTTATATTTGCACAGAGGAACAGCTGCCTGTGGTTTCATGCAGCGTGCATACTGTACAGACTAAATCTGTTGTGTGTGTGTGTGTGTGTGTGTGTGTGTGTGTGTGTGTTTTGCAGTTTATACATGCAAGTTGGCGGATGCTGAGAAGCCGTTGTTTCTTCGCCTGGTGGCGGGACCCGACCCAGACCTGCTCAGCTTTGTCCTGAAAGAACAGCAGACAGGAGAAGTCATGGTAAGACTGATTATCACCTCATTTCAGCTTTATTGACATCTTCCTGGCCTCTGTGCTCTTTCGTCTCCGAGTTCAGCCATTCCCAAATGAGACGCTGCTGTGGCCCATTTCAAAACTTTAAAATCTAATGCACAATTCTTTTGTGTTTTCAATTGATTTAGATCTTCTGAGGATTTGCTTATTGAGGCTGACCTGCCATAAACTGTTTGATCTCAAGTATCTCCCAGCATTTGCTCTTAACAAACCTATAAGAGTTTATGATTTTTTTTTTTAAAAAAGGCAGAAAATGAACAAGTACCTTTTTTTTTTTTTTATCCCCATGACTTAAATATTCAATGGCAATTTTTAGGCAAAAATGACAAAAACTGGCAAACATAAAAAACATGTTTTTAAAAAGTAGTAAAGGTGCCATTGTTGTTATCCCAAGATGGATGCTACGCATAAAAAGAGAAATAACCACTCCTACTGTACTATCAAGCATCATCCATAGACATATACTTTATCAATTAAAAAGGGAAAAAACAGAACTGTTTTCTTGCTTTTCTCCTCAGTGGGATGCCTTCTCCATCCCTGAGCTGAAAAACTTCCTGCGGATCCTCGAAAAGGAGGAGCAGGAGCAGAAGGACGCAGTAATTCGCCGCTATGAAACCTACCGGCAGAGACTGCAGGAGGCACTGCTGGAGGTCAGGGGGCCTTCTTAAGAGGAGATATAACCTCCTTGAAAAAGGACTACTGCCCCCTAGAGGGACGAAGGGGATGTTTTGTTTTTCATTTTTAATCTCCTGGTGTACATTTTGATGGAGGGAGGGATGTGAACACAGAATCAGGAGAGAGGATCCAGCACCTAGAAGAAGGGATAATAAAGGATGACAAGAGGATAGAAAAAAGAGACTGCAAATAAAAGAGACGAACAGACAGAATTTTGGTTGCTGGATTCAAGATTTTAAACTGCTTCCCGCTCAGCTACGTCTGCCTGCAAACACCAAAGATTCACTCACTGTGCCATATCCGTTCATCCTCTTCACTGTTTGCCGTCCATCCCTCTCTTCTTCTTCTTCTTCTTCTCTCACTCTGTCCTGCTGTCACATAATTTATGCAGTTCATCCTTTTTGTTTCCCTCACCTTTTTATCCTTTGAACTTGTGAAAGACTCAAGGCCATATGTTGAATTATTTTTATTTAATTTGTGTGTTTTAAAGGTCTGTACATATTTTTTTTATTTATATGGGTGAAGCTTTTTATTGTTTTTTGTTTTTCTTTTTAAAACAAAGTCTTATTTTTGTGTTATTGTAGAGGCGGAGCAACAATCTGCTTGTTGACACAGATGCTGAGAATAGTTTTTTCAGACTTCAGCAGGACACAGAAAATCCAAGCAACAGAGCATGAAAGACCATAAAATGGAGTTATTTTAACCCACAGTAGTTGTCAAATGTAAAAGTAAATACTGATTCCAATAATAACTCTAATTACAAAGAATGAAAATGGATTGGAGTTCTTCTGGATTTATCCGTTCCAAAAACACGTCCAATCAAAATATATGAATCTGAGAAGAAATACTTATTATATTCGTTATCCATTTATATGGAATTTAATTATCTGTTCATATTTTTTGGCACATTTAGGACTCCATAAAAGCCAGCCTGAGATTGTTTGCATGAAAGAAAGGAGAAATGAAAGGTGACGTGACAGAAAACAGATGCAGGAACTCTAGAGAGATTTTTAATAGGAAGAGTAAAAGAACGATAAGATGAGTCTTAACTGGAACTTAACAGGAAGTAGTTTAGTTTTGGGTGCAGTTTGTAAAAAAACAAAAACAAAACAAAAACGCTGTTTGTTTTTTCATGTGGAGTGAAGATGAACTGGTGGGATTTGAAGCCTTTGTGTTTTTTCCACCACCAGCAGAGTTTCGTGAAGCATGAGCTGAATAGACTGAAGCAAACTGCTTGAGCTTTGACTCCCC